GGGTTTTTTGGGACACCCTGCAGCATATAAGGTTTACATGCATTTCATGAAAGTTTGATTTCCATGACCTTCTGAATACTATGGTGGAATTTTAATCCGGAAGCTTTCGGGATAAAGGACTGGTCCATGCAGTTGAACAATATATGTACAGTATGATGTGCGAGCAACTTTTCAACAATTTTCTGCATGCTGCAAAATAAGTGGTATATATACATATATCATGCATGCCCACTTTTTGTCTGTCCACTTTCTTTGTCTCATGTCCTTTAAATACGTATAGACTTCTGTTGAAATTACGGCTATCATATACACTATGATCAGGTTTGCATGCATGGCCAACATGACTCATTAGTCTAATTGTATCCATACAAACTATACATTTTTAAAATCCTGCATGGCGTAATTTTAAGAAAATTTCTAACGTCTGGCGGTTGACGTTTTATATAGAAGATATACACAAATACAGTATAGATACACATCAATTCATTAACATAACAAAAACAATGTTTATACGTGAATAAGATGCGCAAGGTTGCATCGTATATATGGAGAGAGCAATAACCAACTTTTCATGCTTTTTGCATTGAATGTGGAATCCCTAGCCTGCATGCGAGGCAGACTCTCTCTCTGGGGAAAGCCTGCCTCGCAGGCTACAGAATTCCATCATGTATTGACATTGTTTATCATTATTTTTAAATAGCTTTTCTTTTCTTCCATTAAACTCACGTGCATGAATGCACTCGTTTAGAAAATTTCGTTTAGAGAACGTAGTCCGCGCATGTGTGATCTAAGTTATGAGAAACGCATCTTTGGGATGAAATTATTTTATTTGCGAACTTTTACAATGAATTTTTTTATGCATATATGATGAATGCATGCATGATATTAAAGAAAGTTCAGGACTGCAGATTTATTCCACCTTCTTTACTTCTAGTTCTAACTCGCTTCTTCAATTCAATGATTTTTTTAAAAAGCCAAATGTTTAACGATGCATGAAGGTTCAGTTTATCAATTAATTCCCGGCAGAGCTCGTTAATTATTTGTTAATACTGTTTTATATACCGCAATATTTTGTCTACACAATCCCACTACTGTTATTCAAGCCTCAGCTGTCAGAATTCACATGTTCCAATTAACGTTGTCGACATATACGCATGCATATGCGCACTGTACTTGCCAAATATTCGTTAAAGTTGTTAAAATCACGATGTATTATAACATCATTAATATACATCATAACTTGCAGCCATACTTCAAGAACGACATTTTCGTTTATTTTGTTAGTCTCCTTTTAATTTAGTTTCTATACATATATGTATGGCTTACGTGTATTTAATCAATTTTTTATTCTAACTCTGCATGATCAATATAATAAATAATACAATATAATACACCCTTTCGAAAATGACGTCATGAGTGCAGAGCTTCGCTCTCATGCATGCATGAATGAAAGAAAGGTAATTCGCTCACGACATATGGGAATGAGGCTCCTGCCAAGGAAAGATTTGTGACGTAATTATCGAGAAGGTATACTACGGAGTTACTACAATTTTTGCCAGAAACTATGGGACATGCAGCTGCTGTAATTTCATATAATTTGAAAGGAATAGCGCCCCCGTTCCCCCAGTTCAATGTTGGACCAACAAAAATCTGATGTCTGGATACGCGGTGCCAACATTGAAACGGGTGGGGGGAGGGAGGGTGGAAAATATGTATCAGGAAATGGTATATTACAACCGAATGCATGTGAAAACTAGATTGTCCCAATCTATATTGTCAAAGATTGTAGGTTGTAAAGCATAATTCCATAACAACGACATCATTAATGAATAAGAAACAATATCCCTGCAACTAAAAGTAAAAACAGATTTTCAAAAATTACCAAGCAATGCATGCTCTGAGAACATTTGCGAAAGACCATGCTGCTTCCACTAATGGCAATGCGCAATGGAACAGCTTGAATTCCAGACAAAACTTCGAAGAACATGGATATCAAAATAGAAGCAAATTCTAAGCAAGTAACTTCAAGTAGTTACAATAAACATCTTAATTTTCCAAGCTTCACCATCGAACTGCGACTAACAATCCAATTTAGAAAATAGTAATAATAATTTCGAATTTATAATGCGCTTTTCTATATAAGCGCATAGAACAGTAATGTATATGCGCTATAGAAATGTTATTATTATTATTATTATTATTATTAATGTAGAATTATCAAGGTCGAGGTAGATTTGAGAACCGAGATTTGGTTTTCAAAAGAAACAGTGAAAACGACAAAAATATCGCATGCAATAACAGCACAAACATATTACAAATCTCACCTATATTTACTAAAGTTCCGATAAAAATGTAAAAACATCTGCATGCACAAAACTTGCAAAAGAAACCACAAAACGCCCTTTGTTCATGTTGTTTTTTTTTGTTTATATTCGAAATTGCCGCTTGCTGTAATATTACTCATTGCAGCCTCAGTCTACACATAACGCAGTCATCTGCTACACACGTTAAAACGCACAAGTTGTTACAGAAAACAGGTCTGCAAACAAGTTGTTACAAATCTGTTCACAAGCTGTCAACAAGTTGTGTTCGCACTGCTTGTTCCAAGTTGTTGTAACAAGTTTGGAACAAGCTGTTAACAACTTGGAACAAGCTTGATGGCATTATCAGACTAGTAGCAAAGTTGTTCCAACAAGTCTGATACAGTCATGATATAACAAGAATGTTACAAGGTTGACGACACAAGGTTGTAACAATATTGTTATATCACGATTGTATCGGACCTGTTGGAACAACCTTGCAACAAGTCTGAAATATCAACAAGGTTGTTACAAGCGGTTAACAGTTTGTACCAAACTTGTTGACAACTTGGGACAAGCAGTGCGAAGACAACTTGTTGGCAGACTTGCTACAAGATGCGAGACCTTTACACACGTAAAAACGCACAAGTTGTAACAAGTCTGCAAACAAGCTGTTACAAGTCTGTTCACAAGCTGTCAACAAGTTGTGTTCGCACTGCTTGTTCACAGTTGTTGTAACAAGTATGGAACAATATAATATATATATTATATATAATAATATATAATAAATAAATAAATAAGAGAGGCCAACTTTAAACATGATGCAAAATGGAAAATGCTTCCAAATTATTTCTAATATTAATTAATAAGAAATTATTAAACCTCATTGTAGGGGCACTAGCGCCTTTACTTACTCCAGGTTGAAAATGTCTCTTAATAAATGCCATTACTAAAGGTTACAATGCTATCAATTATTGTGCTATAAACGTTGAAGTCAGTGGCGGAAATTCACTTTTTCCGGGGCGAAGCCTTCTAAATTTCCGACAAACCCCACCACCCCCATTTGTACTCGAAAAGACTGTTTCTAGCCCTCTTATGTCCTTAAATATGTATAGATTTCCGCCACTGGTTGAAGTTTTAAGACATTAATTCTGGTTAACATAATAATACATCAATTTATTACGTCAATAAAACTAATATATGTTTTATCGCCATGCAAACATACAAAGAACTTATTGTTCCAAACTTGTTGACATCTTGGGACAAGCAGTGCGAACACAACTTGTTGACGGCTTGTTGGCAGACTTGCTACAAGATGTGAGATTTTTGCGTGTGTAGCAGATAACTGTACCATGCATGCATGTGTAGGTTGCGTGATTTCATACTTAGCTATTGGCCAATCAGAAGTCACGTAGTGACTAGAATATATATAATAATTTCAGTTATCTTCGGGATTTCAATACGGCCGAGATTCAGTGGAATTTGGATAGAGGCCTACTTTCTCCGAATTTGGGATGTTGTATGATTCTGGAGGTAATTCACATACAGTTTTACAGGTCTTAACACAAAAAAACATGAAGTCATCTTCAGATTATACAATGTGCTGAGTCACTGACTGTACGTAATTGCATACCCCATGCAAGAAATTTCAATATTTATGGCTTATCAGTTTGAAACTGTGCACGGGTCGCAATGTGGACAATTTTCAAGAACCATATTTTCTCATTTGAGTTTGCGTGAATTAATCAATATGAATAACGAATGAAGTTTCGACAAAACAAGATCTACGAGATAAACTATTACGAAATAATGCGCCCATTTTTCCTGTCACGTCCTGTTAACTCTACGCAGGCATCTCGTGGTTCACTGGGTGCTTGGATTTACAAAGCAAATTCTGCCCGCCAATCTATGAGGCTAGGTGAAGACGTCAGCTACTCAGTGGAGTTCTTAGACGAAAACACAAGAAAAATACAACGTTTTCTAGAGAGGACTCTTCCAACAGCCCCAAAGTTCAAATGTACATTTCATTCTTCCCGATTGACATGTCTCGCACAGCCTCCCGATGTACCTGATATAATAAGCCTTTCCTATACGCTCATTTTATCAGCCATTTTGGGGGTACTGCCTCTACAAAGTCTGAGACACCTGCAGGGCCGGCGCTAAAGAGGGTGTGGGGGTGGAACACCCGCCCAATTAATCATCAAGTGTAGTCGGCAAAATATTGAACTCCAGTCGGCAAAACATGGATTTGGATAGGAAGGAAAAGAATAAAATAAACCGATTAAAATTTAAGAATGATAGCTAAAATGTGGAGAAGTTTACGAAAACATTGGATAAAAATGGAACGAACAAAATAAGATTGACAAATAAGATTGATGTTGAACCACCGCTTCCCCCCCCGCCAACAATTTTGGGAAAAGAAATATTAATTAGTGGTTGTAGCGACTCGGCAGAATTCACTGCGCCGCCCGGCTGGCAAGCACATTTCACATCGTTTTAACTGTGTAGATCATCTGAAGAGGGAAGACAGTACCCAAAAAATGGTGGATATTGGCCTTCGTGGGAAAGGCGAATTGTTTGCATTTTACTAAACAATCATGCATTAACTTTTGCAGGGGGATGTTCTGGCAATTATAGCGCATGTCAAATGCTGCTATTACTCGACGTTTCTCATTTTTAATTTCTCCATATAGAAAAGCCATGAAAGTGATTGGGAAACTAATAATGTGGATTAAGATGCTATGGTTGTTATATTTTGTCCATCCTGGTGTGTGCAAATGTGACTTAAGGTAAAATGATTGCTTTCACATCGGTATTAAAGATTTATATCAAGTTATCCTTGAATGCCGTACACACGAACAAATTTTCCTCGTCCTTTAGTGCAAGGCTCCTTGGCAAGGAGAAATTGTCAATTTTTTGTCGTACACACGAGCAAATAAAACTTGTCAAAAAAAAATTGCCAGTCTGTATACGGAGCTTAATTTGTAAATTTCTGTACGTGTTGTACGTCGCTGACAGATTAGTAAACTCACAAAAGATGCATGTCAATCTCTGGGAAATGGAATACAAAAAGAAGCTGTATAGTCATATAGGTTACATAAAATAGGCTATTATAAACTGACAGTTAAAATATATTAAAATTAAATATATATATCCATCTTTCAGTTCGTGCTTGGATTCTACATTTGCCTATCTGTATACAAGGCGTATATAAGACTTGGCATAAAAAAGGGCATTATAATTTAAAATATTATAGGAAAATATCTGTGTTTGTTCATAACAACAGATGCATAGACAAACGCGCATATAGTAAAAATAATTTTAGTAAATTATTTTCATGATTTTTTTTGTGCCATGTAGAAAAGCCGGTGCTAATATGAATGCAACGACATGTCTTAATGAATTACTTCGTAGATATGACAAAAGAATTAGACCTGGTATATTTGGTAAGTCACGTAGTCGTATAGGATTTTGTTTGGACACAAAGGTTCCGGCTACGTTCCCCGGAATTTATTCCAGGAACATTTTTTGCAGTAACAAAGCCTGAATAAATTTATATCTCATCGCTCCAGCGAATGAGTGTCTGGCAACGTGCAGAAATATTTTTGGCAGTAATAAAACCTCAACCCACGTACTTATACCTCACTGCACACGCCATCAAACGTCAGATTGACGTTCGGATCACGAAGTGATGGCGTAGAAGGGGACTGAAACCAGTGAGCTCCATATATATCTGGAGTAAGAACTTCAGTCATTCGGTCTATACGAGAAAAGTGAAGCCAAGATGGCGACCATTGACGTCCAATAACTCTAAAGGTCGTAAACAACTTTCACACCATTCTCCCCAGTATCGCTAACCAAGTTATCAGTTCATAAAACCATAGTGTTATTCTTTAAATCGATGTCAAGATACGAAATTTCGGCACACTCCTTGCCAAAATGAGCTATTGGACGTCAGCTCCAGTCCCCTTCTATTGTTTTTGTCTGCCCGGTTAACACGAAGCTGGCTTCACTTTTTGGACTCGCCCCAGATATATATGGATCTCACTGAATGAAACTGACTTACGGATGACGTGGAGAGCTGCTACCATTGGTGACGCGAGGCTTCACCCTTTACTACCAAACGAATGAACCTTATCGTTCCAGTTAAAAGAATGCAGTTCACTCTTGCCCACATGGCAAGCCGTTGGGATTTCAGGCTTTTCGTGGTTAACATGGGGAGGGAGTTTCACCCAACTTTGAGATGAGCTCCAATGCCTTAACGTATATCTTGCACACTTTCAAGTTGGCTTCAGGGTTTTTCTATAACGAAGCAGTGGACGACCTTAACTTCGGAGACCAAAGTTTAGGTGTCCATAGAAAAGACCTAGTCTTGCCCTTCCACACGAACTGCAGTATATGGCCACTTCACCGTAGTTAAAAACTTTCATTCAATTCGATCGCATTTCGCAATAACTTCAAACCTTTCAAATATATAGATAAGAGACTTTTGATGTGACGCTATGTTATGTATTGTACGTTTAGAGAAACCAACAGTTGTTAAAGTGGATATTCTTATAGCAAACTTCTGGACGATAGAGGAAGCTAACATGGTAAATATGGTTTATTGATGCATGCAGCACACTATAGTACGGTCTATCGATGATAAAGGATTAAGTTGTATGTATATATTGTTATAGCAGAATAGCCAACAATACGGTTTCCATGATTGATAAACAATAGAATGATTACATTGATATTGTTGTTGTTGAAGTTGAGCCAATGTTGGCCTATTTTTTTATCAAAACCTGCTCAAAATCAACGAATAAACAATGATCATGCATGCATGCACCATCAGGGCCCGCGGAGCGTATTAGAGAGTGGGGGGGCTAAATCATCAATAAAACCCCCAATTAATTAATTTAGAAAGTTTCATTTAGATTTCTATTTTAATAATTTTGGCTGTCAAAAAGTGGGGGGGCTCCCCCCGTCTCCGCGGTCCCTGACCATGTGTCCATGTAAACACGACTGTTAAGGCAAGGAACACAGCAATGATATAACAGTGTGCGTTGTGGATCGGAACCCTATATAGTTGCATGTTCATCCTTTTGGGCAGGTTGCTCCAATATTGACAGTTAAACACAGCTTTAACAAACCCATATGCCTTCATGGGAAAACGCACTTTGCTTTTCATGAAATGCTGAACGTTGTGTCCGAATGTTTAAATGGCTTTCAGAAACCGTTACGAAAGCGTCGAACCGTAAACGAACACCGTTTGCTGAACGACTGCCCTTTTATTTGCAAAGGTTTGTGCGTGAACGCGCAAACGCGTTTGGACGTCATTCGTCTTTTTTGAATCACACATACAAGACTTCACTACGTTGACAGCACTGTCTGTTATAGAGTTTTATGATTCGCTCAATTTCAATTTATCCCAGGCTACACCACAACGTTGGTTGAATTAACAACAGTGCCAACTGTAACATCATGTTAAATATGAAATTATTATCCAAATTACAATGGTGCTATTCAGCTATATCTGTAGTATGTTTTGCATTCTGTAGGATTTCACAGTGGATTTCTACCTGCGACAATACTGGACGGACGAACGCCTGGTTTTTGAGGCAGATGATAAACACGAAAAGTTAACTTTAACCAGCGAAATTTGGAAAGAAATATGGCTTCCTAGTACTTATTTTATTGGCAGTAAAAAGGCGTATTTTCATGATGTAACCACGGATAATTATTTACTTCAAATAGGTCAAAATGGCTCGATATTCTTTAGTATGAGGTATGTACAATGATTGCTTTTGGCATAATCATGGGCATGCAGAACTTGCAACTATGACCCTTCCAAGTACGGTACCAGCACCAAGAGTATATACAAGAATAATATCTTTGCACAAGTGAACATAACAAATCCTATATACACGCGTTGATTGGTCAAATTTGACGTATTATAAGCTGTTATATTCATCTACTATACAGGTGAATATAACAAAACCGAAATTTTCAAAATGGCGGCTAGCCATTTTGTGGAAGTTAGTGATAAAGAAATAAGCGAAATTAATACCCCCGCCCCCAATTATAATAAATTCAGTCCCAAAAACACAAAAGACTTGTGCAAAAATACTAAAACAATTATTCACCTCAGGCTCCGTGATTATCGGGGAATATTCATCTCGACTTTGTCTCGGCGAATATTCCCCGATAATCACCTCGTCTTCGGCGAATTAATAATTGTTAAATACTGTAGGATATGTCATATGGTACTTTGATTCGAATAAAAACCAACTCGACAAATGTTGTTCCTTACACAGCATTTCAAGCGTGAAACACACAGAAATATGTAAGACATTTCAGATGATACAACAAGATATTGTTTAAATCTTAGGCAGGAGAGAATATCGATCACATGACAAATTTAGTTCGCAAATAATTGAACAAACTTTCTTCATTCGATCTTTTATATCCACAAATGTAGTATTACATTTACAAGTTTTGCAACAATCTTACAATTGTGAGTGGTTCAAGTAAAAACGAAACTTTATGTACAGTATACGAAACACGACTTTTTTACTATTTCACAACCAACATAATGTCAACTAATACATATGTTAAGAAAAAGTCATTCTCCGTATAATTGCAAAGAATGATTTTTTTAACATATGTATTAGTTGACATTATGTTGGTTGTGAAATAATAAAAAACAGGTACGCATTGCGTACATGTGGTTAGCCTATAGGATTGGCAATTGTTATAGCGTCATATAGCTGATTTCGTTCAATATAATGAACGAAATATCTTGGTTGATTTTTCAACCATTGAACCATAAAATGTTTATTCTTCATGCTTTGTCGTATGAAACCAAATACCGTATAACATAGCCATAATACAGCAACCTTTTTAAAAACAAACCAGAAAATATTAAATTAACTCTACTATTTCGTTGTAAACGGCTAAAATAAAATTTTAAAACTCTTTCTCGCTCAGTCACAAGCATCGTAGGTCGCTAAAAGCTGCCAACATTTAAGGTCCAGACTGGGCACAACGCGACCCGATTTTTTAGTTTTTGAAAGTTAATACAACAGCCAATGAGAGCAAATCTTACAAGACATGATGTAGACCAAATAACGCAAAATGTTATAACGCTTCTAAATACTTCAATGAAAGTCAATGAAATAAGTCAATGAAAGTCGAAAAATCGCGTCGCGTTGTCAAATCGCATCCCGTGTGTCTGGACCTTTAGATGTTCATATGTTGAGTTTAGTACATGCTATGAAAAAAATCAAATAGTTCCTTACAATAGCTTTAGTCATTATCAACATTGTAGCGATTTATTGCCTCTGAAAGGCAAGCGAGATCGTACCTTTCGCTGAACATATAACTTCGGCCACGCTACAGGGGTAATGTGACTCGAATCGGTTTCCGACGAACGGTTTCCGACGTTTCCCGAGTGCTAGGACAGCATTGTTTCGACAATCAGTTTGTATTTCCGGTCGAAGCTCTCACTAATAATTTAGATATTCTGAAATACCGAAATATAAGATGCAAATCTGTAGATACAAGCTTGAAAATAACACTCTGAATAGTGTTTTGGATTCTGATTCGAACAAAACTATTACGAAAAAGATATGTTGAAAGGGACCAAAGTTCTGTTTACAGAACATTGTTTACATTGTTCCACAGGCGGCCCAATCTCGCAAGGGTCAGTATAGACTTTATACAGTATAACTTTATATTATATTAATTGTATATTATGGTAAAAATATGTCGTAAAATATAAATTTTAAAATGAAATTTACTTGCCTATTTGATAGTGTGTGTTCTCCTTTTATTCCTCCTTTGTTGGACTAATATTTTCCGAGACTTTGTACTCCATGTTACTAGTATACATGAAACATGATAAAGGCTAACGATTCCCGATCGTCGATCCGACGGCACGGCACTTCGAATCGAAAATTTCCACACTCAAATCGCTTTATTCTCCAAAATAATTCGCCAGCATGTACAACAGATGCCGTTCTTCGAAAATACGGAGGTACTTCGGCGAGATGTACAAGTTTTGGACTATATTTTAACAATGGAAATCTAAACCCATTGGCCCAGGCCGAAAATTACTACGGCGAACGTCTGCGCAACCAGGCCTCCTTTACCGTTGGATTTACAGGGGGGAAGCAAATATTTCCGGTAACAGCCAGCCAATCGCAACCGTGATAGCGACTGTTTACATTATTTGAAATTTGATATTCAAAATAAAAACTCCTTCGATCGGATACTGTATAAAACTCGAGATGTTGTCGAAGAAAAGAAAACAAAACGATGGAGATTTGAATTTAAGGAAGAAGAAATATACAGCGGCTCTTTTTTGGAAAGCATGGTAGAATATGATACTTTAATTCGAAATATGATCGTTAATATATCAGTGGCATCCTTCCCCCCTGTAAATCTCAACGGTAAGGAGGCCTGGTTGCGCAGACGTTCGCCGTAGTAATTTTCGGCCTGGGCAAGTTCAATATAAAATGGGTTTAGATTTCCATTGTTAAAATATGGTCCAAAACTTGTACATCTCGCCGAAGTACCTCCGTATTTTCGAAGAACGGCATCTGTTGTACATGCTGGCGAATTATTTTGGAGAATAAAGCGATTTGAGTGTGTGAAATTTTTCGATTCGAAGTGCCGTGCCGTCGTATCGACGATCGGGAATGGTTAGCCTTTATCATGTTTCATGTATACTAGTAACATCGAGTACAAAGTCTCGGAAAATATTAGTCCAACAAAGGAGGAATAAAAGGAGAACACACACTATCAAATAGGCAAGTAAATTTCATTTTAAAATTTATATTTTACGACATATTTTTACTATAATATACAATTAATATAATATAAATTTATACTGTATAAAGTCTATACTGACCCTTGCGAGATTGGGCCGCCTGTGGTTATATCAACACTCGTGGAAGTTGAGAAAACTCAAAATTGTATGAAAACACTCCGCCCTTCGGGCGTCGTGTTTCCATACAATTTCTCGTTTTCCCAATTCCACTCGTGTTGATATAACTGTATATCAACACGGAAAATGTTTTATATTTGTTAAGTATAAAACTGCTAAAATGTGGACAGTGTATTAGCTCCAGCCACTAGAGAAGAGAGTACTGGTTGAGCAGCAGCTTGCAGACACAACGACACTAGTTAAATTGTAGTGCCAGTGAGCAGTAAGGACATTGCATGAAACAGTACGTAGCTCAGGACTGTGTACTATAGATACAATAAAAGTGTGACAATAGCCACCGGGGGGGGGGGGTGAATTAGGTTACCAATATATGACTACCATTTGTAGTTGAAAATCTTAGTTCTTTTAAGCTTAATTTATAACCTACTCAATAATGCTTTCACAGTTGACAAATTGTTGTTACAGCTTTGTTAAACAGACTTATTTAGTTATCATTCAAAGATTTTCAAAACAAATTTTTTGGTGGGGCTGCGGAGGAGGGGGGTTGCCCCTAGTGTCACTGATAGCAATATTAAAATGCTATCATTTTTATATATAAATATTACAATGATAGCAGCAGAATTCGAAGTTAAGCAGTAGAAGTACAGCTACTACATGTAGCAATAACAACAGCAATATAAGAATAGCAACAATTGACATAAAAGTAATAATATTATAATGGTACAAATGGGTTATATACTATAAAGCAATACAGAGGAGTATACTGTATATATATATATTAAGTGGGACGTATACATATAAGACATAAGCAACATGATGAATTGAATGAAAACAAATATTAATTGAGCAATATCATCCAGAAAAGCTGTAGAACTATCCCATTGCATACACCCAATATGACTGAGACAAATTGACATTAGCAAGGGGAGTGGTCACAGAGGTTGATAATGTGCCATTGCCAGTTACTCAACTACACAGTATATAATTATACATAGAAGACTGACTTTGATCAATTATCCAATCGAAAAGGGAAGCCAAATATGGCTGACAGGGTCTGAAATTTACAGTATCCCTCCACAGGATACCAAAAAATTGGTTTTGGATGCCAAACTGTGAATGACTTGTATCCTGACTGGATACTAAGAAAATTCCAAACATTATTAATAATAATAGGATGTTAAAAATCTTTGACTGGTTACTGATAACTTTTGAATACTATCAGTTTACCAACAGTCTTCCCTTACGAAAATATTCTATAGAATATTACATTGAAATATTCTATGGAATATTCTATGAAATATTCTAAAGGATTTTGGAACCTATTCTATGGCATATTCTATGGGATAGTCTATGGGATATTCTAATGGCAAGAGTGGGTAGTAGCGAAGTAGTTGTAGTTCGCTACTGTAGCGAACTACAATTTTCAAGTAGCCAGTAGTTTTTGACTACTTTTTTAAAACAGTAGTTGTAGTTATAGCGAACTACATTTTGCCTAAAAGTAGCCAAGTAGTTGACTACTTTGCAAACAGCGAATCGCTATTCGCTACTTTTTAAAATTGTTAGCAACCGTTCGTAGAATATAATGATATTAAGACACACGGTTTGCTTAAAAGATTATTTTATACAGTAAAGATTATTTTAGCGCATTGAAAAGTGGCACTCCTGAACATTGTATAGTGCTTACAAAAATGTTGCTTTGACCCTTTTGTTTACTGTTGCTACTCGTAAGTCGATTTGTTATAGGTTAAATTACAGCCTGAGCCCAAATACCGTAAAACTAAAAAATACAGAGTAGCGAAATAGCGAAATAGTTCGCTACATTTTTTAAGCAGTAGCTGTAGTCAGTAGCGAACTACTTTTGTTCAAAAGTAGCAGTAGTTGTAGCTGACTACATATTTTTGAAGTAGCTGTAGTTATAGCGAACTACAAAAATTTTGTAGTTAACCCACCCTTGTCTAATGGATATTCATTTGAATTCTGTAGAATATTCTATGAAATATTCTAAAGGATTTTGGAACCTATTCTATGGGATATTCTATGCAATATTCTATTGGACATTCAGTTGCATTCTATACAATATTCTATAGAATGCCCTATAAAACATTCTATAGAAAGTTCTATGGAATATTATATGGAATATTCTACTGAATATTCTATGGAACATTCAGTTGAATTCTATACAATATTCTATAGAAGGTATGGAATATTTTATATAACATTCTGTATTAGATTCTATAAGATTTATAAAAGTTTCTATTAAGAAACATTTATTAAAACACAATTACCATTGTATAAAGAACTTGTTTAATTATTAACTAAACAGTAGTAAAACAGCTAGTTAACCATTATCAGAATTATACGTTTATAGCTACCATTGAACTACAGTAGGAAATGGGTATTTAAAAACTAGTCAGCAGCTACGAGATACAACTGCCTCATGCCTGGAAACAATTATAGCAATTTTATTTGGTGGAGAATATCACTTAGTACATAAACTTTGCAGCAAAGATTTCAATGTGCCTGGATTTCAATATTAAGTATGTATAAACAGATGTAAATATCCAGGCTTAAATTAAAATTAAGTGCTGCCAACAGAACCAATGTACGTGGGCATATTGTCCACAAAACAAACAACTATGCAAGAATTTAAAAATAAACATTGGACTAGTCAAACTGTTGTAGGATTACTCTATTTAGTGAATATTTTTATTAGAATAAGTGTCAATGTTAATGTTATGTGTAGATACTTTCTTTTTTTCACAATATTGTTAATCCTTGTGTTCATCATTGTTAATCCTTGTGGTCATCATTGATGCATATGGTCTTGAAGAAGAACACTGGCCATTTTGCAAGAGTTGTAATTGCTCTTCCAAGTTGGAAACAATATCTGTTAGGCATGGCATTACTATACAAAAATGAAAAATAAGTAAATGTTACCTATTAAGTTTCATTGCATCCTACTTTATTATTTTACTCTGTCTAACACCAGACAACTTTACTCTTCAAGGCGATAGCAGTTTTGCTCAATGGATTAACCCTTTCATGCACCCCATATGCCCAACTTTAGTATTTACTGTCTAACGCTCACTCTATCTCATCGTCTGTGTAAATTTAGTATTTACTCTGTCAGACAATGTTACTCGTCAAGGGAAGAGTCTTGAACATTAACGGGCTAACAAGACATCTGCCATTATGTCCTGCTAACCCATAAACACTAAATTTAACATTAAATAAATCTTAATTAACTCAATTAAACACATACCAGTTGCCACGGCCCAGCTTAGGGGTGTTTACAAGATCCAGACTGATTTGTCTGGATTGGGGGGGGGGGCACTTTAGCTAGGCCAGTATATAATTTTCTTCATATAATGCACTAAGAAGACTAGTCTGGCTATAGGCAAGGCTGCGATATTCTGTATCAATTGCAATAAACTTGGACAGTGTTATTTTTACCTCACAACACCAGTTTGTCAACTCAATCCAGAAATTTCCAACTGTTGAGAACAATATTTTGAGCCGGGCTATAGCCCAGCTGCAATATTTAATCTAAAAATGTACAAGGACAACATTTGAGGCTTTGTCTCAGCACTAGCTAGTGACTATAGTGCTTATTCCAGCTTTACAAACATATAATTTTATACACCTGAAGCTCATTAACCCATTCCCAAATTTGAATTTTGGGCAAATAATGTGCTGCAATTTGCATCTTTCAACACACTGAAAATATCACATCAATACTTATATTTCAAGTATTAAAATGATAACATATCTTAATAATATCAATATATTTCATATACTTTGACAAAGGTCGTCTAGCAGTGCCAAATTATGCCAAAGGCAAAGACACTTTATATTGTGGATTGTTATAATTAAACAACAGTGCGTAATTTAGTATAGAATTCCCAATACTATATATTCGAATTCATATTTTATTCTTTCTTCCATCGCTAGAAACCGAAATTTTGTATGTTTTTATGCAAATTGACGCGGCAAATTCAAACATTCAACGGAATATTTTCACACATGACTCAAATTCACTACATTATTTCGGAATTAAAGTGCTTAAATAGCATCAAACATGAAAATATTCTTACCTGTGAGATCTGAATAACATTTTAAGAACTTTCCAATGCCGTTTCCATCGTTTGGGTTGAAAATATAAGGGAAAATTTCCCTTCAAATCCGTCCATGTGCGAGTAATTTGAAATTGAATATCCCATGAAGCTTTGCGCCCTCACACGTAAACTAGGTACCAGGCTTCCAGTCAATGCGCGACGAGAAAATCAGAAAACATATTAATATCTCATTGAAGAAAACAAATGTACTGTGAAATAAGTATATTATTAAGTAATTATTAGAAAATATTCAAGAACAAATTGTCTTGAAAGGAACAAACTTATTTCAAGAACAAATTGTCTTGCAAAAAACAGATTTCTTAGTTAAGAAATATTTTTCTAAAATCACAATACTTTCACCGATTTTTTGCTGTGTACCAGGCAGTATAAATTAGGCTTAAATCGATATCAATTATAGGTTTATCACATTCTATGAAATTATCTATAGAATATCCCATACTATTTCGGCATTAGAAAATATTCTATAGAATATGTTACTGGATGTTTCATATGAATGTGCAATAGAATATTCTATAGGATCTGGAACTTCTATAGAATATGGCAATAGAATATTCTATAGGATTGCAAGTCCCATAGAATATTCTATAGGATATAGAATATTCTATACCATATTCTATAGGATTCTATAGAACATTTTCGTAAGGGTTTCCTTATTAAGGACTAGCATATAGAATTTTGTTGAATGATTATGTGGATTTTAGTGTATTAATGAATTGTTTAGTTGTTGACTGTTGAGTCTATGGAAACTTGATTTGTTCAACGTAGAGACTGGTTCATAGGAATTAGTCATTTTGAGTTATGCAATCGTGTGTCTTCATCCATCCGTGTCGTTGAACAATGAAAACATTTGTTGTGAAATTAGCGAAGATAAAATAGCAGTTTGTGAGAAAACTGCGGGTCTACGGTGCGGGACGTTTTCGGATTTGAACTCAGCGTGTTAGTACCTATATTAAGTGTTAGTACCTATAAAATATTTCAGTTCCAAGACATGCTTAATGAAAATCGTTTTCTAGGCACTTTTCAAGGTCACAGCAAACTCGGCCTACGGTGTTGGAGTATTGGGTGGGTGGTCATCCTCACTGATCTCAAAAATATGGCGGACTGTCATGAATAGCGGACACTGATTGGTCCAATTTAAAGTTTCATTATAACGACTGAATGACGACAGCAGAATAGCAAACATTTCTTGATTTGATGATTGATAAATTTCTTGCAAATATTTTTCATTTTTGCTCGCATTTTTGCAAGATTTTGTAAATTTCAAAAGCTCTCTCAGAAAGAAAGGGCAAAAGAATCGGCTAAAAGAAGGGAGCCAACGTTAACGAAGGTAAATATGTTTTAAATATTGCCATTTTATAATTGCTTTAAAACCCGACGGCCTTTGCGTATATGAAACAACTAAACAAGACAGCATATAATTTCAGTGTATCTTTAATATTGATTCCCTTTTTTATTATATTGAATTTTTTAAATAAAAAAAGAAAGCAAAGTTATTTGTATGCGAGATTTTGAAATCATTTTATTGCAAACTCAAAGTTTATCGATAAAGCCATTTAATTATAAAAGGCAGTTCAGTTTTATAAAGAACACTTTAAAACGTTTTGCGAAGCGTTTGTGGCTGAATAGTTCCTTAAATTGAAGCTTATATTACGCATAATAACATACCTAACACATATATGTTGGGAAATTGATAATTTTGTAATTAAAAGTGATATTTGTAGACGATTTTTCATTTGTAAGAATATTCTTTAAGAACTAGAAGTTACTATCGCAAGGAAAGTGCTGCCTCATCCCCAAGGGATCAAAGGCAGCATGCGCAATTTGCTGAATAAGGGGCTGTTTATACGATCCCGCTTTGCCAGGACGAGATACGAGGCGGGACGATTTCGTCGTATTGAAATAAGTCATGGTCTACAACTGACAACATTTGAATTCTGTTAACCAGCATTTGAACTTTCATTTAATTACCTAGTGATTGAAATACATCAAAATCATCCCACTTTCCATCATGTAAACAGCCCCTAAGATGCCTGTTCAGAATGTCAGAAAAGTGTATTTTGAATACCAAAACACCTCAGTTGCACAATGTTCACAGAACAACTGAACAATCTACTCATGGGGAGACAAAATCTATTTCAAGTTGACATTTTTGTTTAATTAATATGTCTGCTTCAGATGACACTGTTCATGGCTAGTTTGCCACTGAATACTGTGCAATATCATATATGATGTTTGTGATGTTACTCCCGAGTGTATATCCACACCGGGCAAGCTTGAAAAATATGCCTGACCACGGTGGAATCAAACCTATGACCTTTGGCATACTAGCCCAATGCTCTGCCAACTGAGCTACTATATGCGGTCAGATCGGTTCGAGTATCTGATATTTCGTCAGGCATATTTTTCAAGCTTGCCCGGTGTGGATATACACTTAGAGTAACATCACAAACATCATATATTCACCTGAGTACATAACACCAACACAGAAAATTCAATATCATATAACAATAATAATACTTGAATGAATCATTGGACATGTAGATGTAGAATTTCATTAGCCTCCTCTGCAAGCATCGCCTTTAAATTATCGGGCAAAATTTCTTGCAGGCAAAAAAACCAACATGCCTGCGGAGTTCATGTTTGCTACTATATAACTCTTGACGTGTTCATGTGGCTACTAACTCTTGATGAAGGGCCTTCGCTCGAAACGTTGAGTTTCTGCTTGTTCTTTTCAGGTAATAATATAACCACTCAGCACAGCAAGTCAGTCACATTGGTACCACCCACACTGGTGCAGACAGTTTTAGTATGTTCACAGAACAACTGAACAATCTGCTGATGGGGAGACAAAATCTATTTGTTGACATTTCTGTTTAATATGTCAGCTTCAGATGATGACACCGTTCATTGTATAAATGACTAAGATTGTACTCAGTCATAACAGCAAAACTATATAATAAGAAAGAAATTGTGAGCATTATCAAAAAATATTGAATACCCTGAACACATCACACATGCAGCCAGGTGAATATGTGAATGTAGGTTGGTAGCCGGTAGGATACTATTTCATATTATGCTAACAAATATTAATGAACATATCTAAGAGAATATATTTTTACAGACCGTCATACCTGGTACAAAAGGCGGTTGACATGTTATATTACATGTAACTGCTGGTATTAAAGTTAGCTAATATTTGCACACAACAATCCACACTGGTCACTGGATTAACTACATGTGTTGCTATAGGAATATGAAATATCTTTACATTTATTAAAAGCATACACAACATTCCGCGTTTGTTTTTAAAACGTGGTGAAAGCACATAATTTGCTATATCTATGTACATCTAGAATGAACACTATAAACTTATCGCCATGCACACAAACAAATAAACCAATAATGAATAAATATTGATTATTGTTTCAAATACCTCATATCGAACACTTTTAACAGCAGATCTAAATATAAATGCCTTCATGTAATATCACCAGAAAGAAATAAAGCTATATTCTTACCTGAATTATTCAAAATATTGTCGATTTGTGAAAATCCAACATGCCAGTGTATCATGTAAGCGCAATACAAAATAAATTTTGACCGCCCCCCTCGTTTAATAAAATTCCTGAAGCCTTAATTATTTCCCCGGAATTACGACATCTTTACAAACAGACAGACACAAATTCTCAAATCGAAATCTCGATCGACTATACATAACTCGGCCAAAGAGACTGGGCACAAGTAAACGCAGGCACGCAATACTTCATGTCAAGAATAGTGTGCTGCCTTCGGCAGCAATTATCGTGTTACCATGACAACTACTCTCGATACTTCATGTTCCGGAAAATACAATGGTTTTGTTAGCAAGGCGAGGGCTTCTGCTATGGTTTCTGCATTGCAGTTTCATGAATTAATGGCTGTTGAGCCGTAAAACAAAGTTTGTATAACAATTGTTTTGATATTTTGATGTTGATGTCTTTGATAATTTAATCGTTGTTGTGCCGGTTTGGGTAAGTGTAAACATCTCAGTAGTAAAATTCCACGCCGGACTTGCTTTGATTTGTCGGTTTTATTCCTATCTGCGAAATTTTTAAGCCATTCCCAACTCGATAATTCACTTTAATGCAAGCTGGTATGCATGAAATTGCAGTGAATGTTATCGTTCATTGTAAAAAGCTAGCTACCACCTCCGCAGGCCATACAGCCCGTAATGAGTATGCCCGTTCGCAGATTGAAATTTGAGACGAAGACTTGCGTAGCTGTAAGGCCTGCTGAATAACATGTCGATTACTTGGCTTTTGGTGTCGATTACTTGGTTGGGTCAAATTTCTTAAAAATATGGCCCACCATCTGCTAATCTTTAGCAATCCCGTTTTGCGAGTATTTTCTGAATACATCTTGGCAGTTATTGCTGGTAAAAGCGACGAGGAGATTCAAATAATGGAGGGTTTTACAAGCACAAGCGACAGTGATAATAGACGTTGTGTATCTATCATTTGGCCAAATGTGATGTTTTGACTATCTACACACGCATTTAAATAGTTACACTTACATATAAAAGACAAATATAAATGGAATAAATTTCGTGGATAAAGGGCCGCATGCCTGACATACGACGTGTTACATAAAAGCGCTGCGTGTTTGTAATATGCAAATTATAAATTGATATTTCATATTTATCTGCATCTTTTTATAAATCATTATATATGCTTGTTTGTTCAGTGTTCACTGTTCCTATGTATATTTCAGATACGAAAAGCGGTCTATATTGTTCTGGTAAGATGATATATTAAATATAATTTGGTTTGTTGCTCCCGCCATTTTGGAAAATTAGTCGGCAGGCCTTTCGGTTCGTTTCCGACCAATTTTATATTTTTGAAAGGCCTGCGGAGGAGGTAGAATAGCTAGTGCATCAGTTGTGTTTTTATCAGGGCTTTATGTTTGTTTATAATGGTCTTTAAGAGGCAGTCTCCGTAAAAACTTCCAGGTCAATATGGGGCTCAAAAATAGATTTCTCTCATACTCTAGTATTTTGAAGATCTATCCTTGGGAACAACTAAAATCGATTTCATTTTACTCAAATTTCCTTTAAATTATTTTTGGGGGCGATTGGTATTCGATTGGCTGGTAACCAACTTGAACTCCGAATGAAGGCAAAATATCGACATATTTTCAGCGCTATTTTTTAAATCAAATTCAAACCTAAATTTCAAAATTTTTGCTGAGAAATATAGACTTATCCTTCTGTTTTCGCGGGTGGTATGACTTAGATAATTATTTTTTGGTATAAAATAGAAAACAGCGCAGTTATTGACCCTCCTGAACGGATAACGGATATCGTCTCAAAATATGTCAACTTCGAAAGCTTATTTCAAAATCGTGGCACTTGATTGGCACATGACTTTAGCTTTTCTATAAACTACTAACATTAGTCAACACAAATCGCCAAAAATGTCTTTCTGATCTACCATTTGACAAAAATGACAAGCACGCAAACTTGCGAAATCGAAATGTGTCGAAATCGAGTGGTTAGATGGAAAACACGGAGTCGGAGTTCCGGAGTCGGAGCCCCGGAGTCCCGGAGTCGGAGTCCCGGAGTCGGAGTCCCGGAGTCTGACGTCATAAAAATATGGAAAACACGGAGTCATATGGAAAACACGGAGTCTGACGTCATAAAAATATGGAAAACACGGAGTCATATGGAAAACACGGAGTCTGACGTCAGAGAAAAATATGGAAAACACGGAGTCATATGGAAAACACGGAGTCCACCATAAAATATGGAAAACACGGAGTCTGACGTCAGAGAAAAATATGGAAAACACGGAGTCTGACGTATTGTCAGCGTGAAATATGGAAAATAGTAATTAAATAATATATCATTTATGCGAAATATATTAACGAATTGGAAATTTTCTGCACTAATTCTGGTATTTCTCTAAAATGTCGTGAAAATATGGATTATTTATTTTTAAATACAATCAAGCAAATAATATTGTTTCTCTTGTCGTGTGACTTGTTCAGTTGTACAATAATTTGAAGTGATTTTAATGCGGATTTTGTTCACCTCGCATGGTATGTTGATAAAAATATAGTTTATATACTTAATACTGCTAGAATATTTCATAGTCGATTAGCATGTAATATTTATAACACACAATATCTTGACACAAAACAGATATGCTGCTTGGAAACAGCGTTGCTATTTAGGCCACATAAGTAAATATAGAAATTTTGTATTTCATAAAGTATTACTGACAATGCTTTTGAAAGGGATAATTTTAAGTGAAACCCACCTGTTGTGGACTTAAAATAAAATTGTGAACTGATGATGCAGAACCACTGGGATAGGGATATTGCTAGGAATCACTGCCAGGGATACTGCTAGGGATTGTGGCGCACTAAATTTACTATTATGGATTGTTTCATTATAAACAGTACTGGAATGCTCTGAATGGTTGTACAATAAGCAAAATTTGCCTTAGTAAAGTAAGCCAGTATCTAGGCTGGCTTGCATTACATATAAACATCCCCTATAATCCTACTATAGTTGGAAAAAATTAAGAAGTAAATTTCCCTTCAATATATGCAATTTGTAGTTATAGTTGTATATATATATATATATAGGCACAAAAATGGCTGAAATAGTTTAAAATTCAATAAAATGTCATTGGGTCATTCCAGAAAACATCCATACCACCCCCACGGAGGAAATTGGAAGTTAACCCCCCTACCCCCTTCGGATGTCCTAATACATTTACTATTATCAGAAACAATTTTGTCTCCCCTCCCCCTCCGGACAGCAGAAATTTCCTCCGTGGGGGGAGTGTGGATCTTTTCTGGAACGACCCATTGTGTTGACATGAAAATATTCTACCAACTGTTTTTGTAGCCATAGGTGTTAATTTAAACCATGCAATTAATGCTCAATATATCTTACATAGATTCATAGTGACATACAAGTCTATGCCACTACACCCGTACTGCAAATCTGCATTCATAGTTCATACGATTGAGCATCTCATGGTTTAAATTAACACCTATAGCTACAAAAACAGAATATTTTCATGTCAACACAATGACATTGTATTGAATTTTAAACTATTTCAGCCATTAATTTTTGTGCCTATATATACAACTAACTACAAATTGCATATATTGAAGGGAAATATATTTCATTCTAGATTTGTTTTACTTCTTAATTTTTTCCAACTATTGTAGGATTATAGGGGATGTTTTATATGTAATGCAAGCCAGCCTAGATACTGGCTTACTAAATTCACTAAGGGTCTGTTTATATGGAAGCCGGGCTGGCCCGCTAAGCGAGACAGCCCGGTAAGCGAGATCTCGCTGTGTAGTTATTTTTATAGTAAAAATTATTGTGCGTTTATATGGACTCGCTTGAAAGAGGTGAGATCTCGCTTACCGGGATGGAAATTTCTCCATATAAACACTCACAAGCAGGCTAGGCTGGTTGCCGTGATGAAAGTTCAAAAATACCGCAGCAAGCTATTTTTAACAACTGTCAAAACAATACAATGTAACAAAATTGTCCCGGCAAGCGGGATGAAATTTTCTCATATAAACATGAGAGAAATTCATCCCGCTTACCGGGCTGTCTTGCTAAGCGGGCCAGCCCGGCTTCCATATAAACAGGCCGTAAGGCAAATTTTGCTTATTGTACAACCATCCAGTATGAGCATTCCAGTATTTATAATGAAACAATCCATAATTGATATTTGACAAATCAACCATTTGCCTATAACTACATGAATGTGGCAACACTATTATTCTGTTCTTTATAACTTAATTGCTTGGACAAAAATCTACGAAAACAGTAAATTTAGTGCCCCACAATCCCATAGCTAACAGTGGTTACTGCATCATCAGTTCACAATTTTACTTTTAAGTCCACAACAGGTGGGTTTCACTTAAAATTATCCCTTTCAAAGCATTGTAATACTTTATGAAATACAAAATTTCTGTATTAACCCTTTAATTATAAGTGACAATATATGTACCCAGATGTACCCTACTTTATATTTTACTCTGCCTAACGCCAGACGATTTTACAATGGTATCATGCAATTAAGCCTGGAACAAATGGTCAGTTATAAATACCTATCTTGATCACTCAAATATCAATGGCTTGATTAATTGCAACTTAATTATGATATTGCATGATATTTAATTCAGTATAAAAACCTAAAACTTATATGTTAGAGATATTAACTTGGTATGGGCTTACCACTATAGTGCAGGTGTTTTTTTGGACACCTGAAAACTTTTTTAATGCCATTAATATACTGCACGGATTTGTGTGTTGGCTGGCTGCATCTATTTATTAGTAAATAACAATATTGCACGCTGTTTCCAAGCAGCATATCTTGATATCTGTTTTGTGTCAAGATTTTGTGTGTTATAAATATTACATGTAAATCGACTATGAAATATTCTAGCAGTATTAAGTATATAAACTATATTTTTATCAACATACCATGCGAGGTGAACAAAATCCGCATTAAAATCACTTCAAATATTGTACAACTGAACAAGTCACACGACAAGAGAAACAATATTATTTGCTTGATTGTATTTAAAAATAGATAATCCATATTTTCACGACATTTTAGAGAAATACCAGAATTAGTGCAGAAAATTTCCAATTCGTTATATTATAAATTCGTCCGTTTGTTTATATTCGCATAAATTATATTATTTAATTACTATTTTCCATATTTCACGCTGACAATACGTCAGACTCCGTGTTTTCCATATGACTCCGTGTTTTCCATATTTTTATGACGTCAGACTCCGTGTTTTCCATATGACTCCGTGTTTTCCATATTTTTATGACGTCAGACTCCGTGTTTTCCATATGACTCCGTGTTTTCCATATTTTTATGACGTCAGACTCCGGGACTCCGACTCCGGGACTCCGGGGCTACGGGACTCTGGAACTCCGACTCCGTGTTTTCCATCTAACCAAATGATAACGGATCATTTTGAAATTGCCAATAGATTCTGTAAACACTTCACTGATATTGGCTCCGCACTAGCGAGTAGAGTACCTAGCACAAATTCTTCTTTTCGCTGCTTTCTAACAGATAATGAAAATATACCCAATTATCCTAAACGAGACTAATGTTCACGAACTCGAGGAAATATCATATAAGGGATGAGGTGATATCAGTTTTATCGCTCGAGGGATGATATCACAATTGTCACGAGCGAGCGCAGCGAGCGAGGGACAATTGTGATATCGTCCCGAGAGCGATAAAACTGATATCACCGAATCCCGAGTACGATAACCTATTTATTATATACTTGTACCTTTATCAGGGTTTGACACCCAAAAAGTAAACAGTTTTGAAAAAATAGGATCATTTTAGAATTCAAAACAATTCATCATTTACTGAACAAATATGATTTTAGAAAATAAATAGACCATTCATATAAATAATATACAATTTAAGTCTTTCGTTTTGTATTATCGTTCTTGTTTTCTTCGATAAACTGTCCACATCAACAAACACGAATCTCGAGTCGGCCATCTTTGTTTTGACAAGGCGCGAAATTTAGCGGGACAAGTCGTTAGCGCACTCGCCTTTCACCTCTGAGGCTGCAGGTTCGAGTCTCACTAAGTACCTTCTCAGTGCGACTCGAACCCAGTCCCCATGTGAAAAGAGTAAAAGTCAACGCTCTGCCGAAAGCCGTGGGTTTTCCCCGGGTACTCCGGTTTCCTCCCACAGGGAAAGTTGACAGGGTGGGTTAGGTAAAAAGGGCCCACAGTAATTGGCATATGCTGTTGTGGTGACCCTGCCCTAGTTGGCAAAGCTAAATAAATAAATAAAAAAAAATAAAAAAAATAAATAAATAAACGATATCCGGGACAAAAAACGATATCAGGGACGATATCGTTTTTATGTCCCGCTGCTTCCTACCTGATAAAGGTACAAGTATGTGATAAATATATATATATATATATATATATATATATATATATATATATATATATATATATATATATATATATATATATATATATATATATATATATAATTTCTCTGTTGAACAACTTCTCAAAAATTTTTGAAAGAGTTATGCATAAACGTCTATAAGTACTTTTGTTGAACAATATGAAATTCTATATTGTTACCAGTTTGGATTTCGGAAAAACCACTCGACTTAATTGGCTTAAATCCATTTAGTTAATAAAATAACCTCAGCCATTGATCGTAAAGAAACAACTACCGGGGTCTTTATGGACTTACCTAAAGCGTTTGACACCATTGACCATGATATCCTGTTTGACAAGTTGGAACACTACGGCGTCAGTGGCCTAGCTCTGAAGTGGATCAAAAGCTATATTTTCTAGACCGCAAGCATTTGTTGAATTCAATCAAACTTGCTCCTCTGAGCAAACAATTAAATGCAGTGTTCCACAAGGTCTATTCTATAGGCCCTTTGTTCTTTATTCTTTGTATAAATAATCTGCCAAATGCCTCTATAAAGGTTACGAAAACTTTGATTTTTGCAGATGACACTAGCATTTTCTGTTCGCACTCAGATCCAAAACATATAGAGTCTAGATGAACATTTAGATGAAGAATTGAAATGTAACAAACTTTCTGTTAATATCGAGAAAACAAATTATACATTATTTTTAAATCAAACAGGAAGACAGTTGCTACTAACTTCTCTCCCTGCTTTGGCAATAAATTACTTGAACAGATCTAGAAGAAAACTGTAAAATTTTTGGGGGTATACATAGATAAACATCTAACGTGGAAAGACCTGCCAAAATAAGCTATATCAGGAACAAAATTTCAAAGTCGGTTGGTATATTGCACATGTCACGGTTCAATTTATCATCTAAAACCAAATTATCTCTATATTACACTCTAATATATCCATACATTACTTATTGTAACCTAGCCTGGTCATCAACATATGTAAGAAACCTAAATATATATTACTTACAAATGCGTGCTGTGCGTTTTATCACTAAAGGCCCATTTCCACTCAAGAAAAATTTGCACGGACAGAAAATTTTCCGAAAATATCATTTTTAAAAGTTGAAATTTTCAGCAACCAAAAGCAGATATAAGTAGACAACTTAAATTTGCACCCCTGCATGTTGTTCTACCATGTATATCCCTACTGACACTGCATGAAACCAAACACAAATTAAATCATCATTTTCTGGCATTGTTCAAATGTCCAAATAGAAGTTTACTTTTACGGACAACTTAAAGTATTTTGAGTACATATATTTTCTTGCAATCAAAAACAAAAAAGGTTCAGCTAATGAAGCATAAAATACTACCTAAATTTCATGCTGTAGTACATCTGCTATTAACGATTAACTGATCAAGCAATTTCCCACTTTGGAATTCTTAATACATATGTCTATTTACTTTAAAAATAAAAAGCGACGAAATACAGAAAACATTTTTACTATTAAATATTCTTGCTATGGCTACAGTCAATTTATTCAGATCGAGGAAATTTAAGTCTAGAAATATCGTCAAAGAGACGCATGGTCTCTGGATTAAAACTTCGAACATTTAAATCATGGCAAAGGTTGTCAATTTCACAAAGCTTAAAATAGCATTTAAATACTTATCGAATCCCAATAACCCGGAGAATCTGTACAAACAACTGTTAGTGAAAGTTAATTTTGACAAAAAATGTCCAATCTTAATGTAAAACGCAAATTCACCTGATTTTGTTCGTAAGGTCAGTTTTTTGCAGGAAATGTTGGGCAAGACGTGTTCACATTTTCATCTCCTTGCCAATGCATTTTCTTCTTCATTGATACACGTAGCGCCATGAAATTGCATTTACATGTTGTTCGGGAGCTCTCTTTTTGTTTTCCTGTGGATAAAGTTTATCAATGGATGCAAAAGGTTGTCAAAAATCCGCCATTTTATCTTCAAAACAAAATCGATCGCTCCTACAGTCGCCATGTCGTTCGATTGCAAAGTGACGACTCCTACCGTCATGCATAGCGGGCATCGCTATAAGGCAAGTGGCCCACTGCCGAAGAAATTTTAACCGCCACAAAACGGTCTCTTGTAAACAGGTCGATGTTCCACTAACCATCGTGATGCTGTTGTCGCCGTTCGTCTTGTTCTTGTTTTTTTCAGCTTAGATATGCTTTATGACTGATCACTGGAAATCATCAGTTTGCTTGAGGGTAACTTTTCTTCCTTTTCCGCATTTCAGAGATAATTATACCCAGATTCGTGCTTTACCTCTGTTTCAAACAACTTCAAAATGAATGTTTCACCAAGTTATCAGGCCAGCTCTAACGCTGAACACCCGAAAACGGTCATAACGAAGAAAGACCGACGATATCAGTTAGCAAAGTTGTTCAGCATCGCGCTCGTTTCCATAGCAACCGTTACCTTAACCATCATTGACGTGATTCAAACAGCAAAATCCTTTGAGAATAAACAGGAGCTAAATTACAAAATCCACGGAAGCATTGACACGGCAATGGTTATCCACAACTTACAAACAGAACGAGGAATGACAGCTTTACATTTGAGTTTTCGGCAATTACATTACGAAGAAGCACGCCGTAAGCGTTATAACATTCGGCGTAAAACGAATGAAAGCATTGTCATATTAGAGAAAAGATACGACACTGATCTTAGTACGTTAACTGGAGGGACGAAGTCATTTTGGTATGCTTTGGAGGATTTTAGACGCAAAATTGACCTTGGGAGAACCAATGTTATTGAACTCTTACAAACCTATCGAAAATGGATAAATGGACTCATCTCTACGCTAGTAAAATACACAGAATCCGAAAACTTGGGAGACTATGCTAACGTGGTTTACGCATATGAGATGGTGATTTTCAGTAAAGAAGAGTCAGGAATGGAACGAGCTCTTGGAGGTTTGAAATTCATTCAAGGCAAGAACTTTAGTGCCATAAACACAACATGGTACAACGAAAAACGTGTCCTGGCTGAAAACTACCTCGAAACAGCCTTCCTATTTTCAAGTGAGTTAAAATATATCCACACTTCATTATTTGCCAACACTTCACAATGGATCAAGAAAATTGAAAAGAAAAGAAAAGTCTTATCTGGGGGTGTATACCAGAAGTTTTCCGATGACGAAGCATACGCATGGTTTGAGTTGATGACAAAGTACATTAACGTGATATTAGAACTTCAAGTGCGACTAGCTGACTTAATTGAGACAAAGCTAAAAGAAGAAATTGATCAAAGTACAGATCGACTTGTGATTCGCTCATTCCTTTTGTGTTTTACCTTGATTGTCGTGCCATGTATTATTATATCGTTGGCCAGAGTTCAGAAAAGGTTTTATGAATACACATTGTCGTTGTTTGATAAAGTTGGGCTGGAGCAAGCAAGAACAGATTTCCTGATGCGAGAAAACTCAAGACATGTTGACAGTAAGTTTATGTAAATGTAGTTTATGTAAAGCAAAACCATTTGAAGAATCACCAAACAAAGTGCCGTTTTTCTATTCTGTTCATGGTACTCTGCTTAGTAAATGTGACTTTCACCTCACAGATCAGGGATCGACAACTGAAATATAAAACTGAAATAAAAATTACCCCTCGGTCTTGCATGAAAGGAATATAGTTTAACGTTGACTCGATCAAACACCACAGGGTTTCTCCAGATATTCTAGTTTTCCCTGTTTAGCAACACTGAACTAATTAACTAATAACTAGTCCCTGAAGCCGAGCTGATTACTTAACTATTAGAGTCAACTCGACCTCGTTGTCTATGAGCGGATAGTCAATGAAGGTGTAGCGCGAGTTGATTATTCGCCATAGACAACGAGGCCGAGATGTTGAATTGTTTTAGAATACAACTCCTACTCAACACATTAAATGACTAAAGGGGAAACAGCCTGAAAATATTGCTGCTATAAACTGCTATATACTGAATAAAAAATCCTTATTTTAGACAAAGAAACACTTAAAAGTGAAATAGATCGAACGTATGGTTAAGTTACCGCAAGCAACTGAAATTTCAATGGTTTTGCTATGCACAAAAAAGTGCTCTTCAATTTTGTCTGTCTTTGTGTCACATTTTGTTGCAAGTAACAGGAGATTATTGTTAAAGGTGATGTAAAGTCCGTAATGTAAACAAACGCTTTATTTACATTTTCAACTCACTGCTATAGTTGTAAAATATGATTAGATATATATTATACTGAATTTTTAACACTTTTCTGGTTCGTTATGCTTGTAAATGAATACAGACTAGAGATTCAATCCAAGAAAGTTCGGAAGGAGCGAAATATTAACAATATTCCAAAGGTTGCTCCCCCACTGATGGAATGTTTTGATGCGCAGAATATATGCGCAGAACGGACTTTACCGCATCTTTAAAATACGTTTTAAATTTTGCTCCCCACCATTAAACGTCTTTAGACGATATTTTGTAGTCTTTTTTGTTCTTAGGGGAAAGAATTCCCTACAAATTCCCCTGAAACCTTTCCAAAAGATAATATTCCGCCATATTTTTCTCAACCGTGGTCCGTTACGCAATGGTCGATGGTTAAGTAGCTAATCAAAATGCTGCATTTTGTAATAGACCATGGTTGAATGCATACTAATAAAGAATGGCCTGATAACAACATTGCCTGAACTAGCTAGTATATATAAGGATTAATGGCCTAATACATATTACACTGCCTGAACTAATATATTACACTGCCTGAACTATAGTAAGGAATTGCCTGTTAAACAACACTATATGATACATATTACAAAGTTACTGCACATAGTAGTTGACATGCATCTAAGGACGAAAGCGAATTAACTTATAGCCTCATTAATATCATTATCGAGACGTAAGCATAAGCAAAATCGCCGATTCCTACTGGTTGCCGCTTTTGAATTTGCATGGCTTAGAGGTTGTTATTGGTTGTGACTGAACGGACTAAATCCTGAATAAATTGAACGTCGATACATGTATGTCTTTTGTGCATCATGTTAAAGCGGGTCTTTCAAACGTATAGCTCGATCGTTCGTAGTGAACAGTTATACTCATAGTACCCAAATATTTCTTGTGGCAAGACTCGAAGAGAATTAAGATGGAAGATGGGTTCGCCATGCTCTCCTCAGATATGAGAACGAAGTGTGACTGAATGACTTCGTCTTCGTGTATACAGTTGAGTAGTTGATGTTTTGCGGACGTCCTCGATCGAACAGTAATCTGGTCCCAAGGGAATCCATACATATCGTAAATCCCCAAAATTCTTTAAATGAATAGGGCAATGTACAATGAAGTGTAAATATTTCATCCACCAAAATCATTTGCATTTAATAATTGCTTTACTGGCTATACAGTGTGTATCAAAATAATTCGAATCCAAATTTGACAGACTGCTGTTTATAAAATACTAAAGTAAACCATATAATTTTTATATGGCAATAAAAATAGCCTATTAGCTTTCCGATTATATCGTTCTTATAATTATCAATAAGATCAAAAATGACCAAGAAATCGTGTGTTAAAACTGGTTGCTCGAAATCAAATTTTTCTGCCGATGGGAATTCGAAGTGAGACGTACAAACAAAAGATAATGCAAATTTAATTAATCAACAAACGGTTATGTAGCAAAATTTACATAAATTCATGTTCATTTAAAGAGATTTAAGCCCCTATGCTTTCAACATGTTGAACGAGAAGAAATTCGCGTTAAATTTGCATTTTAGTTTTCAGTGATGATTAGCATTTCAAAGCCTTGTGGGACTAACTTTGAAAGAAAAAATGTCCAATTCCCATCGGCGGAAAATTGTGTTTTTATAGACTTTTTTTGTCAAAGCAATACTCCTTCATTTTCCAACTAAATGACGCGTACAGCATGTCATTTGAAAGATAAGTAAATGAACTTAACAATGGTGTAAAAACCAACCGAATTTGTCAAATATATTCTGCGTTATTACACGCCAAATTTGGATTCGAATTATTTTGATACACACTGTATATAACACTGTCATTAGATTGCATAGTTAGTATAGACTAGTATACTGTACTATTAATAACTTACTGCGGACGTCGCACAACAAACAACGTTACGAAGTGTCGAAGTGATTATCCAGTTCTGTTTGGTTGCAAAAGCACGCAATTTACTGTTATGTAGTCGCTCATACGACTATGATAGGTTACCAATGTAGGTATAACTTTTCAATACATGCAGGTAAAGTTCATCCCACACTGTAAAAACTGATAGGTTAAAATAACCAAAAAAAATAGGTTATTTCAGTTTGTCTAGGACAACCGGTTTAAAATAGGTTATTTAAATAGGTAGAAATAACTAAAACTAAATAGGTTAAAACAAACCATTTCTAGTGGGTTATTTTAACCTGTAATATAGTGAAACCCATGCATGCACCTATATGACACAATAACAGATTACGCCGTGAATACATAAACAAGCATGCCGTACTTGGAGTGCATGACAAATACAATCCGATCAAAACACTATACTGTTTCAAGTTATCGTATATTTACTATATTTTGCTATAATCCGGCTAGATACCCGCTTTCTGTGCACCTATAATACCGGCCCGGGAAAGGCGGGAATGGAATTTGCAGAGGCAAGCAATAATTTTCGTCCATATCAGTAACAAATAATCTGCATGCATAAGTTGCATGCATACATGCATAAGTTGCTTTATATATGTCGCTTTAGGTCGCATTAGCATATATTCACTAACATAACCAATCAGATCTTGGATTTTGACGAAAGAACATTGCATAAATGAATATAAGTCCGTTTTCGTCCTTAGATGCAGGTCAACTGTCTAGTACAAACTGACTTTGTACAAATACATGTACAGAAAAAGCAGAATAGATGGAACATAAACCATACCGATATCACACTTGATACTTCGACTGACTTTGTACTTCCAGCCAGAGCGCCAAGTTGAAAACGATCTACCTAATACATCCTTTGGGAAAATACGTTACTTTGGTTAAAGGGCCTTGTTTTCGTAATTAAGATGTTGTGTTTTTAACTTATGTTTTCGAACACGAAAACGAGGCTGTATAGTCAAAGTAGCATGCTTTCCGAAAGGATGTATCGTGACATTTTGTGACCTACAACATTGCATAATGAAATTTGCTTTACCTTTAAAACCATATTTTAACGTGAATGGATATGAAATTACTAAGTGAGATTTCTGCCTTCTTTGTTTTGTTCTAGACTTGGCAGATAAGTGGAAAGACTTCTCCAATCATGGCGCCAGCAAGACTGATACTGTCGCCACAAATACGTCAGTGGACAGAGCCAGCGATCATAATCTTGAAAACAATATTGCTTAATCCTTCAAATTACGCTGATAACATTGCTTACATCTGTGAATCTGAGAAGTGTAGAATAGTTAACTAACTTTCTGAAAAATAACACTGAATTGTAATTATACTTACAATTACTACTGGCAAACTTTTAGGAAATAAACAACAATGGTGTTTTTCGTCTGCGATTCTTTGCATGCAATTGAATTGTAAATAAATTGTTGTTATCAGGAGCTACGGAACCGGGGGTTGGCAATCAGGGCACGTGCCCCTCCCCTCCCCACCCCCACACTTTTTTAAAAGTGAAAAAGTGTCCTCTTTCTGGGCTAAAGTGTCCCATTTAAAGAACGAAAAAAGTATTTCTTGAATGAACATCCTCTTTTGCTGGAAAGAAAGTGCCCTTTTTGCAGTAGTAAAGACTCTGTAAAGGCCATTTCCGACGTTATAGAGACTCCTTATTTTCAAAAATTTTCGTTCGGCTCGTGAAAGACATGAAATCGTTTGATTTTGGTCATGTACCAAAGGGCCCCTTTTGGCCAATGTCCCTCCACTTTCGAAATGCATCTGGAGCCTCTGGTTGTTTTTGACTTGTTAAAACACAAGAACCTGTTATTCTTATTGCATTAAACCATATTGTGCTGTTAATTCCAAAATTAAATGTATTTGAACAGTTAACTTGGGGTGACCACATCCACAGACCACGCCCTTGTCAGAAAATGCGATACTCGCATACTTCGCGACGGCATCTACCTCGTTTTGAACGACACCTTTTCCTTATAAATTATAATTTTATCTTCACCTAGCATCATATTTTCACAGTACGCACAACTCTCTTAAATCAGATGCATGTATTCTTCCGTGCATCTATTACTTAAATGTGAATATTATGCCGGTAAAAATACAAAAATATTTTGCTGCTACTGATGACAAAACGGAATATTTTCACATGGCTTAAAACTGGAAAGTTTTTTTGCGGCTGCATGAATTTGGCATTTTTTATTATATTTTGTCAACAACGACACACAGTTACTCCTGGCATATCATTCCTGTAGTCCTAAGATTTTAACCACCAGAAGTGCTTTAAGGGTCTCCTAAAGACGATTTCTGCATTTTAAGTGATGTTTTAATTATGCTAAAATAGGAAAATACAATCACTACAGGGCTCATTAGTCAGAACATCGAAAATGTGGAAAAATAACATTACTGGTGTGACCTTAAAAATTGAATAGAAATATGTTCGGAACATACAATCCGGGCCAAAACTCATGTGGACACTTACTCCACTTTTGCAAAAATCATAACAAACACCAAAAACTTGAATTTACTTGCACATCCCCCACTCCTTCTCTTCAATGTTGCATATCCGATTTAACCACAAGTCATATTTGATGAAAAATCCCATTCAACATATGCTTGGGGGAGCGGGGGGGGGGGAGATAATTATGTCGAAAAAACATCATTCGAGGCCAATGACTGTGGGTTGTCCACAACGTTTTGTTCAGGATTGTAGCTGTATTTTAATTGTAGAATAATGTCAAATCTTAAAAAATTAGTAAACATTTGTTATATTTTCAAAGACTATTTGAGTCTTGCTAAAAATCTTCTAAACCCCCCGAACTGAAAGGAAATTTTAACAAAGGGGGCTGAGCCCCTCCTCCCCCCCGCCTGAGGCCTTTTGAGCCCGCACGATCCCTCTCAGCCGCCACAAGCCCACCCCCTCCCTCCAACACCCCGCTGTTCTGTCTGACAAACACCTTGCCTGTGATCGGTGTGAATATATATGTTTTTAAATAGAATAAGTTTTTTATGAATACGTGATCGATAAACAACATGTCAACCTCGTTCCCAGGGCGTTCGTGTGAGGTTAGGCGAGAGAAGAGAAACCCTGGTCTGGGCCGGTTAATTTCGCATTCCGAATGGCTAACACCATATTGTCTAAAAATAGCAGAACCGTTGGCGTTGACAATAACAATTCAACATATATATTTTTAAGATTCGATTGTTGTGCGGGTATATTTTGCAAAATAATCTTTCAAAGTAAGAACGTGAATTGTATGTGAGCAACGACCGTTTTCAGTTTTCCCGACTGCAAGATTTACTTTCGCCTCGGCCGGTTACAAAACTCAAAAGCCGTGTCGACGTGAACTGTGATGTTTCTTGACAAAACAAGAAACGTCCACTAGCTGTACTACGCGTATTGTATTGTAGTAATATTTTAATTTACTGGAAAATACATGCATGCAGAAACCCTGGCCTTCTGACAAAACCATTGTATTTTCCGAACATGCAGTATTTAAAGTAGTTGTCATTACAAATGAAAAATCTTCTAAAAATATCACTTTAATTACAAAATTACCAATTTCCCAAACATATCTTTGTCTTATATCTATGTTAATTTAAGGTAAAATTCAACCACAAACGCTTCGCAAAACATTTTAAAGTGTTCTTTGTAAAACTAAACGTAAACTGCCTTTTGGCTTTATCGATAAACTTTGAGTTTGAAATAAAATGATTTCAAATTCTCGCATGCGAATAACTTTGCTTTGTTTTTTATTTAAAAAATTTAATGTAATAAAAAAGGGTAGTCAATAAAGTATACACTGAAATTATATGCTGTCTTGTTTCGTTTATACGCAACGTTTTAATATACGATCGGTGGCCGTTTTAAGGCAATTATAAAGCAAACAATACATTAATATTTAAAACAAACTTACCTTCGTTAACGTCGGCGCCTTTGCTCTTTTCTTTTAGCCGATTCTTTCGCCTTTTTTTCTGAAAAAGCTTTTGAAATTCACAAAATCGTGCAAAAATGAAATATATTTGCAAGAAATCATCAAATCAAATTAAAAATGTTCGCTATTTCATGCAGTCGTTGTAATGCAAATTTTAAATTTGACCAATCAGTGTAATTCGCTATTCATGACAGTCCGCCATATTTTGGAGATCAGTGAGGATGACCACCCACCGTTGGTCACCCACGCCCGCGATCTATACACTAACTATTCACTTTTTCCTAATGCCTTTACCTAATTTGCCTTTACCTTAATGCCTTTACCTAATTTGCATATTACTGACATATGCAAATTATAGGCAAGGCATTAATTAGCATGCAAATAGCTGATTTTTGAGGGGAAAAATGTACGTTTGCGTCAATAGTTAAAGGGCTGAAATTAAACAAATTATCTCAAATTTTGTACAGTAATTAAAAACCCAACAAATTTCCATCTATTAACTCAGAATATGATTATTAAAGCTTTTAAATTTCGTGCGCAAGCCATTTTTAGTTTGTTGGAAAATACAAACCCCCCTGGTTAACAAAATTTGAGTTCGAGAATATTTTTTCCTTATTCTACATTATAAGTACCCAAAGAACCTACATATATCAAAAACTGGATATTAACAGCTGTTTTGCGAAATTGGGAGCAATTTCAAATCTGATCAGTTTTTTTTTTATACACCCTGTAGAGCGTTTGCACATGACAAGACAGCCGCCATGTTGGTATTCCAATTCAAAATAATTTTAATTAGGCTCTTTTGTCTGGAACACCAACATAGCCGCCATGACGTTTGTTGAGTTGGTCCCTGGAGAATGAGTGCAAAAGCTCTATATGTTTCTGGAACGCTTGTCGCGACATCGAATAGACCCTTCCAAGGTTAACGACGCCATAATGAAACACAATAGTGCAAGCTAGGAGTGCAAACACAATGGAATTCCCTATAGGCAAAATTTTCAGGGAATGCAAACACAGTAGTGGAAATAATAGATTCAAGATGGCATCTTTTTGCCTTGGAACGGCCTATTGACTGCTATCTTCAAAGCAGGGAAACGTTGAATCCGGGAATCGACGATTCCGGGAATTGTTTTTGGATATAAAGAAATTAATTGTTATTCAAGTGTTGACGCTGAATAGCATACAAGTAATTTTCCCCTGGAGTGATTTGACAATTTGAGCTGGAGTTTATATTCGGGTTCCAATAAAGGTGAGAGTTTTAAAGATTTACCGGGTACTTGAACTTCAGGGTTCCATCTGCTCTGGTTACAAATACAACACAAGAAGATAAGAACATTTGTGATTTGTGTGACATATAGACCGCCAGATTGTCTGCTATCTTGCCTCGAAGAGCTATTAAAACCTAATTTTACCACCGCTCTTACATTTAATAAACCTATCGAAGGAGATCTTATTACAGAATACCCTGAAAACAATGCATTGGTTACCTTTATAATTACATCCGAGTTAAACCTTAAACAACTTATTACTTCACCAACCAGGACAACTGAAACTTGTAGTTCTCTGATTGGCACCATGCATGACCACCACTATTAGTGAGCTTAAGCAAGCGACGTTTTTGACAACACGGACGTCGACCGGAAGTAAAGTTGACGTTTTTCACCAATCACAGCCCTTGACCCAGTCTTCTGACGTTACTCATGCCGTTCGTGTTGTCAAAAACGTCACTTGCTTAAGCTGACTATTATTAGCGATCATCTTCCGTTTACGCGGTGTTAAAGCTAAAGCTTCCTAAACCCCCACCCTGTCACATTACATTTAGGGGTTACAAGAACTACAATTTCGAGATGTTTGCAGCCGACCTTGCATCTAGATCTGTTCATATCATATCGATTTTTACAGATAATGATGTGAACACTAAACTATCAATGTTTAATAATAATTTTAATGATGATTTTCTTTCCACCTTGGAAATACATGCTCCAGTTAAGACAATTAAAGTTCGAAATCGCCCTTGTCCTTATGTCACATCTGAAATTAAAGAATATTGGTTTATGGGGAACAACTTCATCGCAAATTACAACTGTCATGAGATATTAACGATTGGCATGCTTATAAAGATGTTTGTGAAACTGTCAAAATTACTCTCGAGAACGCCGGGAACAATTATGTACGTAACGAAATCAGTGCTCTCAAAAATAAAGTTGGATCTTTGTGGAAAATTATAAACCGCAGCATACCCACTAAAGAAAGGCCAACGCAAGTCTATAGTAAACCTACTGAGCAAATTGCCAATGACTTTAATCACTGTAATGTAATAAATGAATACAAAGCCCAGTCGAATTGTAATCAAGACCCAACGTTTCGACACTCCAGTCTAGTGTCTTCATCAGGGGTGATCTAAAGTTGCAATGCATGATGCTTCTTAAATACCCAAGGGATGACGTCATCTGCCAATAAGTTGCATATATTCCCCTGGCAAATAGACACCATCATCCCGATTCAAAGCATGATTACTCATATATTTATATGCCACACTTCTCGTCTTTGACCGTAGCGATTGTTTGTCGTAATTACTTTAGGATTTTCCCACGCAATCTCGTGTTTGGTGTCCCACTCATGTTCTGCTATAGCTGATTTCCCCTTGGTTCAAAGTTGAAACAGCCTTTTGATGTTCTTTTAGCCGTGTTCGTACCAAACTGGAGTTTAGACTGACCTAAATACTCTATCTCGCAGTCACCGCATGGTATTTATTTATAAAAGTTATTTGGAAACGATAACCTTCAGCTATTGCTTTCAAGGGATCGTTTTATTTATTTTTTAAATTTTTTATATATTTTTTTGCAAACCTTGGGAAATAAAGCAGCTAAATTAATACCAGATCTCCCTCCTTTTCGTCGGCAACCGAAGCTCTCGCTACATTACACTTGTCAACTCTCTCATCTCGCAGATATAAACGTCGCTGTATCTTTATCTACAAATGCACTAATGGACTGATAGATTTCGACTTCAATCTAACAACTAACAGCAGAATCCATCCCCACAGCAGAAGATCGTGTAACAACCTCCATCTCCCAAAAGTCAACACGAACTTGGGTAAACATAAACCAACCTACCTCGCTTCGAAATTAGACTTTAACAACTTTGACGTTTCCGTCAGAAACACTGATTCTCTGAGTCAATTTAAGTCATTGCTAAGGTCACATATCATATAACTATTCTTAGTTGTACTTATTAGAAATAGTTAATTATACGTTGCTTTATGTCGTGACGTTATATATTATTAATTGTATATATTTATATAAGTATACATTTTGTTAATGATTGTGTTATGCAGGACCCCACTGAAAAACACATTAGTGATGTGGGTATCCTGGATAAATATAATTATAAATAAATAAACCTATAAAATATTAATAGATATTTACACAAATAAGTCATGTTAAATGAAACAATATTGATAAATCGTATTGCAGTACTTGTGAGCATTAATATCACCAGTCATTTAATCTATAGAAAAATAATTCAATGGCCAGAAATGACGGACATTGTGCAAGCGTACCAGTCGGTCAGCAGCTTTTCCGTTTATCCACAAAAATTCCTAATTATCCTTTTACGCTCTGTCAAAGCATCCGGAATTTTAAATATTCGCGTGGGTGTTGTTTATAAAGCAAAGCATGAAGTATGCACTCAACTTGTGGCCTTTAGTGTACCAGGCGCAGCGTGTAGCTAAGCAACAACTACTGAAATGAAAAGAGGAGCTTTTGACGAGTATTTTGGTACCAAACATGTAGCAAGGCAATCAATATTTCGAGTTTAGAAAGCAAATGAAATATAACTTTTTAATCGCGAAGTAATATATATGATATGCATATTAACGCACCGGCTTTCGAATTTCAAAACAAAAAAGCAGAGCTTTTATCGGGTGTAACACAATAATAAGCGGCGGAAGGCAAGGCTATAATATTCGTCAAAATAAAATGATTTCAACAAATTTCGATAATTGAATATATTACGAGATTTTGCCGTTTGAGCGTGAAACCTTCATAGATTCCTATGTAAAGTGACGTAAAATGTTTTAATATTCAATCGCAAAAAGCAGAGCGACTATGCAAAGTAATGGGAACATTTTTTTAATGTGTTACTATACGACCGCTACTTCTTGAACCAATTTCAACAAATACTCTAAAATTTATATATAGCATGCTATATTGAAAATACTCCGGTCGCCTGATAATAAACATAGGGCATTGCGCAGCCATTTTTGCGTGGATGCTCCTGGTAACATGAAACCTGAGAAATGCAAATGTCCGTCATTTCTGGCCATGGCGGGTCGATTAAAATTTTTTAACACCTTCGTTCACCATACTTACCCGTTTAGATGGTGAGGTGTTAGCCCGGGTGACCGAGGGGTGGCCTGGAACGACTACCGGTACTACTGTTACTTGGACTCGGGTTAAGATCCATGCCACTGGTATCTTGAGCAGACCACCCCCGCAGGGCTAACACCTTCACACCAATTAACAATTGGTGGAAATATGAAAGAACAGGAGAGAAAAAAAAAATCTTTGTTCCTAATACGTTTGCAACGCTTCCAACGCACAATGATTACTAATACCACCAATGCGCGGCCAACCTCTTATTACATACTCGCCCGGCCCCCTTTTGGTCACATGATGTGCCGACGTAACGAGGCTTGGTTCCCTAGCTGTTAACCTTTGTTATTGCATAACCTCATTTAACACCTTCGTTCACCATACTTACCCGTTTGGATGGTGAGGTGTTAGCCCGGGTGACCGAGGGGTGGCCTGGAACGACTACTGGTACTACTGTTACTTGGACTCGGGTTAAGATCCATGCCACTGGTATCTTGAGCAGACCACCAAGGGTGATGAACCATCACCCCTCCAAGGAACAGCCTTAACCAGCGTAATGCGAATGGCGACCCACCAGCGATACCATGCCGTATGGTATAAACCGTAGCAAAGTGTGGGCCCCAAGCGGTACCAGACTGTATGGTACACAACGGAACGAATTACAATTTGCGACCCACAAGCGACCAACCGGTATGGTATAAAACGTAGCGAATTGTGGGCCACCAACGGTACCAGACTGCATGGTATACAACGGAACGTACTACAAACTTGCGACCCACCAGCGGACCAAGCAATTGTAGGCCACAAGCGGTACCAGACTGTATGGTACTCAACGGAACGTATTATAAACTTGCGACCCACAAGCGAACCAAGCAAATTGTGAACCACAAGCGGTACCAGACTGTATGGTACTCAACGGAACGTATTATAAACTTGCGACCCACAAGCGAACCAAGCAAATTGTGGGCCACAAGCGGTACCAGACTGTATGGTACTCAACGGAACGTATTATAAACTTGCGACCCACAAGCGAACCAAGCAAATTGTGGGCCACAAGCGGTACCAGACTGTATGGTACTCACGGAACGTATTATAAACTTGCGACCCACAAGCGAACCAAGCAAATTGTGGGCCACAAGCGGTACCAGACTGTATGGTTCTCAACGGAACGTATTATAAACTTGCGACGCACAAGCGGACCAAGCAAATTGTGGGTCGTAAGCGGTACCAGACTGTATGGTACACAACGGAACGTATTACACATTAGCGGACCAAGCCACCGGTAGGCCACAAGCGGTACCAGACTGTATGGTACATATCGAAACACAATGCGAACTTCGACCAGCGAGCGATACCAGACTATATGGTATCCTACGGAACGGAACGTAGTGCAGCTTTGCGACCCACAAGCAGGACCAACCTGATAAACCGTAGCAAATTGTGGGCCCCAAACGATACCAGACTGTATGGTATCTAACGAAACGTCTTGCGAATTGCAACCCATATGCGATACTAGATTGTATGGTATAAAACGTAACAAATTGCGGGCTCCAGACGATACCATACTATATGGTATATCACGAAACGTATTACGACTTGCGACTCCCAAGCGATACCACGCTGTATGGTAAATAACGAAACGTATTGCGAATTGCGACCCATCGGCGATACCAGACTGTATGGTATAACACGTAACAAATTGTGGGCCACAAGCGATACCAGACTGTATGGTATATAACGAAACGTATTGCAAACTGCGACCCATATGCGATACCAGACTGCATGTATAGTATAAAACGTAACAAATTGTGGGCCACAAGCGATACCAGATTGTATGGTATATAACGAAACGTATTGCGAATTGCGACCCACAGGCGATACCAGACCGGCTGTATGGTATAATACGTAACAAATTGTGGGCCACAAGCGAAACCAAAATGTATGGCATATAATGAAACGTATTGCAAATTGCGACCCATATGCGATACCAGACTGTATGGTATAAAACGTAACAAATAATTGTGGGCCACAAGCGATACCAGACTGTATGGTATATAACGAAGGTAGGTAGGTAAAAACTTTATTTAAACACGCTTGCCTCGTCAACATGATGCTGATTTCCACGAGGGGCGTCAACAAACAATACAAGGAAAATAATTAAGTTACAAAGTTACAATTTAAAAATATTATATACAACTATATACAAAAGTTAGATTAGCACATATAGCACAGAGTCATCGTCTAGCTTGCACCTATCTCTTTTTTGAAGCAATCGAGAGTATCCACCGATTTAGCTGCAGACGAAAGGTCATTCCATAACATAGGCCGCTGTACTTAAAGCTTCTTCTTAGATATTCTGTTCTAGGTTTTGGACGAGTTAAATGATTTTCGCTATTTCTGAGATTGGGTATTTTGTGTCACATGCATCCTTTTGTAAAAAGATTCTGTTAGAATTGCGACACATAAGGCGATATCAGACTGTATGGTATATAAGGTAACAAATTTTGGGCCACAAGCGATACCAGACTGTATCGTATACAACGGAACGCATCGCGAATTTGCGACCCACAAGCGGAACCAACCTGTATGGTATAAAACGTAGCAAATTGTGGGCCCAAAGCGATACCAGACTGTGTGGTATATAACGAAACATATTACGAATTGCAACCCATAGGCGCTAACAAATAGTATGGTATAAAACGTAACAAATTGTGGGCTACGGATACCAGAATGTATTACGGGAAACGTATCGCGGCTTGCGACTCCCAAGCGATACCAACCTGTATGGCTAAGCGATACCAGACTGTATGGTATAAAACGTAACCAATTGTGGGTCACAAGCAATACTAGCC